TTAGAATCACAGAACTTTAAAGCCATATCATCTCAGCCTCGCAGACTCTCAGAGCAATATCAGAAACGACAGGCACAGAGAATCCTGGAAAGGATGCGCCAGGAGGGAAGTCTCAGAGTCTCCTAGTGCTCAGAGGCTGGGCAGGGCCGGAGGTTCTCAGGAGAAGAGGCCTATATGCTGGGAGGTAGCTGGCCAGGCCTCTCCTAGCTCTTGCTCAGACCCAAGGGCAGGCACTCAGGAGAACCACAGGGTCAAGGAGGGCGTTTCAGCTGCTGGCTGACGGCGTGGGTCTCCACCACCTGCCAGCCAGCCCTCAAGGGGCCATCGTTCCTCCCTGGGCTCCTGGAGAATGTCGTGCTTCCTGGCACGCTCTGGGTGACCTCCTTCAACCCCATCTTATATTGTGCCCAGTGGGGGCTGCAAAGAACTTGGTCATGGCCATGGGAGGAACCTGAGCTCCCGTCCCGGCATGCCCCCTCTCTGCACAGTTCTCTCAGTCTTCCTTCACTGCCCGAGAGCTCCCTGAGGCAGGGCTGTGGGTCTCATCCCTTTGCCCGCCGCCCCCCGGGGAAATATTCGTGTCATCCTCCAGAGACAGGGAACCACAAAGAGAAGAAATCATCAAACCAATGAGAGCTAGCAGATCTCGTTGGATCAACTGTCCACTATACTATGAAGGTGGAGGCCAGAGGCCTTCTCCCTTGGGTAACTTAGAAAATGGCACTTTACTCCTATAGGGGATGTTGGAGACTCTGGAGACCTGAGCCTGGGATGTGATACTGGCAAAGGTTTCACCAATCTTCACCAACTGAAGCCCCATCTTCAGTTTCTCCTCCTGTCCTTTCCCTGCCCCTACAGAAGAGACCTGGCTCAGGTCTGAGACCTGGCCCTTTGGCCTAATTGGTGGCCCAGGTAGGCCAGGCTGGGCCAGTCAATATTCCTGAAAGCAGCCCAGGCCAAAGCCCCCTCAAGGAGGTAGGAGAACAATTCCTCCCGCATCAATATGTATTGCCTCAGAGCTGTTGGAAGCAGATCATCATGTTCTCAGCCTTTAGTTCTTTTTAAAGAACCTCTCACCCCCTCCCCTCCCCACTCCCTATCCCCAAAGTGTTGACAGAATGAATCCAGACAGCCAGACAGGTTCACAGCCGGGGAGCCGGGGCCCCAAGGCATCACAGAGGCATAGCCCTTAAAACCGGAATCTCTGAATTATGGCAGCTTCAACTCAAGAAGCCACGCATTTTCAGAATCCGAGAGGCAGAGTTGCTCCAGGCATCTAACTTCAGTTTCTTCCATGGTGGAAGGGGGACATGGGAAGTGACTTGCCCAAAGTCACACAACTGACATGTGACCAAGCCTAGCACAGACAAGTCTCCCACTCCCAGCTCTGTTCCTTCCGAGTGTCCAAAGGTCAAGATCACTCCGTCGCCCTGTTCTAATTTAGGACTCAACTTAGAGAGTATCATCAGTATCTCTGTCCTTCTTCTTCTAAGATCACCCCACGTCCAAGATCTCTCCTTCAAGTTACAGGAATCCTATGTCTACCAATTTCCGTCTGAGCTAGGCAGCACCGGGAACGACCATCTGTGGTTCCAAACTCAAGCCTTCCTGCCCTGGGAGTGGCCGCTCAGCCTCCGCTCGGCTTTTCACTGGCCCGGGGATGTCTCTGCAGTCTTCCTGGATAGCTTCGGGATTCATCCCCACTCCCTGACTCCTGGTCAATGCAGTGCCTTGCCCCGGCAGCTGTTGTTTAGATCGTGGCAAGAGCCTGTTGTATGGACGACCCTATTTCTCAACCTTTCCCCATCCGTTCTCCTTGTCCCTCACAATCTTTCTGTCCACCAAACCTGTCAGAGCTAGCAGCGCTGTGTGGCTCTCAGTGACGGAACCATGGGACTCCCCTATTTACCCTCTGTCCAGGGCTGTCCATTGCCTTGTAACCTGGCGGTCAAGGGCTTTCCTGTTCGGCCCCTGCTGGCTGTTCCTGCATCATTTTCTTTGATCTCCCTTCCCACATACACATCCTTGACTCTGCCAGGGGGTGGGGAGGGGAGGTTTGGGGGAGCAGTCGGTTCTGAGACTTGCACTCAAATCCCGGCTTTTCTAGAGAGAGCTGATCTAGCCCCTTTTAGGCCCAAACTCTCTTCCTCCACAGATCAGCAGATCTGTTTGTGTGCCCCAATCTGCCATCATATGTCCACCCTTTCTTACAACAAAAATACTCAACAGGATTTTATAGAAATCATCCCTTTGACATCAGAGTTTCTTGGCAACAACTAACTTCCTCAATTTTTTATTATCTGTGACTTCCAATCACCACCCCTGCTTCAGAAAAAGAGTAATGCAAACTGCCGATTTGCAGATCGTAAAGAAACGTGTGCAGATAGAACGTGGACATGAGTGATGTTAACATGACTAACATGTGATTCAGCTTCAAAGACGTTCTGCCATCCCCTGTGCTTTGGGGGGGTGGGGGCTGTGTTTTGTAGGTCCCTGGAAAATCTGAGGCCCCAGGCCTGGAACGAACGATCTATCCTGCTCCACGACCCTCTCTTACCAGCCCTGAGATCACAACAGAATGTCTTTACCTGGCTGAATTGCAGCGTCCTCTTCTGAGGCAAGGACCACTCGCCCCAAAAGGTGAGCAGGGGATATTCAGTGAGATCTCCCATAAGCATGAGACCAGGTTGGTGCTACTTGTCTAGGCATCTATGTCCTCGATCAACTGAGCCCCCTTTTAAGTGTAGAGACCAGAGCTGATCTTTGCATGACCAGAGTCCAGCCTGGGCCTTGTCCCAGAGAGACAATCCATACGTGTTTATCCCCTTCACTGCCCTCCCAAAGGCCAGGTTCATTTCTGCAATCAATTCTCTGCCCTTGTTCTTTCCCAATCTACAATGCCCTCCTTTCTCCTCCCCAAGTTTCCACACATCCTTATATGTAGGACTCAAATCCTTCCTCTTCGGGAAAGTCTCCTAGACCCTCCTGCTCATCCTCCTCATCCTCCCAGCTCTTAACAGGCCCGTAGCACATTACAACTCGACACAAATCTTTTGTGACCAGCAGAAAGGCTGGAGGCGCAGTGGTTAGAGTAAAAGCCATGGGTGCTGCGAGCGCTACCCCTTGTTGGCTCAGTGATCTTGGGTAAGTCCCTCGATATCCTCACCATGGAAGGGGCAGGTAACGCTCACCTTGCAGGACTGTTAGGATGATGCAGTTGATCCCGGGCATGGAGGGGCGTGGTGAGCACGAGGTCCCGTGCCCAGGAGGGATGAAGTTAGGGTTACAAAAGCTGGCAAGAAGGTGGGAGCTGGAGCCCAGGGTGTGGCGGGCGGAGCTTACTTTGCTGGCAGGTGAGGCGATAATGGACAAGATCCTCGAGCGGAAGCGAAGCTCATGCTTCTCCTTGGGCATCTCCCTGGGGAAGAAGAAGTAGGGGGTGGCAGCCAGTGCCACCGCGCCAGCAGAGATGAGGAAGCCCAGCCACCAGGCACCCACCCAGCGGGGGTCCTTCGAAGTCAGGCTGATGCCACCTAGAAGAGAAAACAATGGTGCTGTTCAGGTCAGGTAGGCCATCACCCTGTGGCTGACCTTTAAGACACAAGTCAGCCTGGAAGAGCAGAGAAAGACTTTGGGCTGGGAGTCAGGAGAGGTGAGATCTGCCCCTATGAGACCTTGGGCAGGTCACCGGTCCTTTCTGGGCCTCCATTTCTCCAACTACTAAGACATGGAGTATGGCGGCCAAGGTGGTGGACTTTAGAAATGAGTGGATCGGAAATCTGTGGTGAACTGCATCCCCCGGGCAAGTTACTTAATCGCTTTTTTGTTTCAGTTTCTTCCTTTATGAAACAGGGAGAATAATTGCAGCTTCGTCTGGGGTGGTCCTTGGGAATGAATGACAGGGACTATGGCGTCAAGCACCTAGCCGAGTGCCAGGCACACGGTCACATCGTGCAGGTGTTTGCTCGTCTTATTTTTGTGCTGAGTACGACCCTGGCCTTAATTCTGCTCACTGCATGATCGAAACTGCTCTGGTGGTTCTCAGACTTGCATGATGATGGAAATCACCAGGGGCGCATGTCAAACACCACGTATTGCCTAAGACTTCCTTAGAACGCCCACAGGGTTGGGCAGGAAGGTGGTCAAGGAATCGGTCTCCTCGCCAAGGTCCCCAGGTGCTTCTGACCACCCCCACCACCACTTCCAGGTTTAGCTAGGAATTCTTCCAGCTACCCATCGAGCCTCTTGGGCCCCGACATTGAGTTGGGTTCATCCTCCTTCCACCTGCACACTATCTGGAAAGACTATGAAAATGTAAATGCACAATCAAACTCTCCCTGTTGTGCAGGACTGAGCCCCTCACTGCTGAATTTTCTGCTCCTCCCGGCCCAGGAGCCAGAGCACACAGCCAACACTCACACAACCTGCTTGCAAAGCTGGGGGTGGATTGCCTTTGGCACGGAGAGCCTTGGCTTCCTCCTCCACTTATTGTTCCTCCTGCCTCTCTGCCAGCCGGGGGAGAGGTCACACACCCACACTCTCAACTCCTCTGCTTCTCCCATACCGCCTGGGCCTGCCACAACCCTGGTCCCCCCACTCCATGAATCCCCCTAGAAACAGAAGCACAAGTGAGGTGGCACCTCAGTGCACACCTGCCTGCCGAGGGGCCACATCAGTTGGAATGATGCCAGTGTAGTCAGAAAGCATGCCCCCTCCCCCAAGACTGGATGTGTCTCCAGGACTTTGACCCCTGGGGCCATCCTGGGAGGGAGAGGAGTGTGGCAGCCACAGTCCTGTGCCAGCCCCTGTGGCCAGTTTTCTAGAAGAAAGGGGGCTGGGTGGGCTGTTCCTCGTGACCTTGATTCCCAGCTGCCCAGGACTGGTTGGCGGCATCTTTGATGAGAAGCCGTCCAGCAAGCCACATGCATGTCACTTGCGTGTGAGCAAATCCCCGGGGGAGTGGTAGGGCTGTTCTCGCATGAGCCCCCCTCCCACTCTTCTGTGGGGAGCCAGCGCACCAGGCCACTCACTCCACAGCCATGGCTGCCTTCAGGCTAAGCTTCAGTGCACTCCTTAGCCCATTCTGACCACGGCCTGGATCAGAGACCGTGGAAGTTTCCCACACTCTGAGACGGTCAGAACCAGAAGAGCCCTGAGAGGTTGTCTGGGAAAGTTCTAGGTGACGCACTGCGGACCTGAGCATGGGGCTGGGGGCCAGAGGGAAGAAGGTGAGGACTCAGAGCGCGCCTTGCAGCCACAAGCCCGATTCCTCCCCTGAAGGCCACTTCCTAGTTGACCGCCATCAGCTCTTTTGCAAAAGAGATGGGGCGGAGGTGCCCTATCTTCCCCGACAGGGAAGACAGCGAAGGCTCAGAGGGGAGACAGTCAGCGGCATTGTTGGGTTTTGAACCCAGGGTCTCCCAGGAGCCCAGCAAGCTGCCTGGGCTGCCCTTGGGTGAGGGAGAAGGAAGAGGCTCACCTTCTGGCATCCGGTTAATGTCCACGTAAAGGCGCAGCATGAGGCCCCCCAGCCCATAGGCCAGGCCTGGCCCCAACATGGTCACGGCAAACAGGATCCCTGCAACACAAAGCCGGGGGGTCCTGCTAGCTTCGGTCTCCCTAAACAGCCTGGTGACTGCCCAGACTCCCAGTGGGCAGGAGTGGCCTGGCCTCCCCGGGTCAGGTCTGGAAAGGTCTGCAGGGCTGCTGTCAGCCTTTCCTGGACAGATGGGGCTGAGAACAGGACATCAATGTCACCAAATGGGGCATCTTCCTCCTGAACCTGGCCCGGCCCTCAAAGCCTGGCGGCATGAGACCAAGACTCACCTAGGTACAGGGGGGAGTTGTTGCTGTGGGCGAAGTCATCGATGTAGGAGATCCCGAAAGGCTGGATGGGCACAGCCCCCACGCCGAGGAGGGTCTGGGCCACAAACATCAGCCCCACCACTGCCAGATGCCGGGTCTCTGTGTAGCTAGAGCAGTTGCCATTGGAGTGGGCTGGTGCGGGGTCTGAGGTCACCGGCAGGCACAGGGACGTCTCAGAGGCTTGTGGCAGATCTGCTGAGAGAAGAAGCAAACAGAAACGGTGATGACAATCAGCCAGAGGCTGACAAGGTGACCCCCCAGGTCTCAGTGCGGAGTGGGTTCCATATAGCTGTCAATCGCTGTGATCGCCCCAAAGGCAATGGCCAGGATATTCCTTCAAGGACCTTCGGGGGGTGGGGCGGGGGGGTGGTGTTCAAACTGCCAGACTTTCGGTCAGTAGCCGGGCATCTAACCCTCTGTACCACTCAGGGATCCCTGGGCGGCAGCAGCCAACATCACTTAGCACTGACAGATGCAAGGTACTGCTGTAAGGGCTCTATCTACTCATCCCTGAACCTTCAGGGTGGACCTCGGGAAGCTCCGCTCATCACCCCGTTTCACAGATGGAGGAAACGGATGCTCAGACAGCCACTGGCAAGGGGCAGAGGCGGGATTTGAACCTGGGCAGGCAGTCTGGCTGGAGAGCTCATGCTCTTAAACACCATACCCCTCCTGAGCAGAGGCGGGTGGAAGTGCCTTGGCAACAGTGGCTCTGGGGCGTGGTGGGATAGGCGAAGGAGGTCGAGCTTGAACAAACAAGATCGTCTGCAGGATGAAGGAAGGGGCTGTGTCCCACGGAGGGGCCGCAGGACGTGACCAGTGGCTCAGGAGAATGAGTAGACTGTGTCAGAGGGTGAAGGGCAAGGCCAGGGCGGGAGGCTGAGGAGGAAGGGAAGGAGCCGGGACTGGGATGTGGCGGAGGATCCTGGAAACATTGGTGCTCCTTTTGGGGTTTGGGGTCTGCTCAGGACAAAGCCACAGATAACTTCTTAATGTAGTACTAGACATGTGTTGCCTGCAGCTCACCAATATTTGGTGAGCAAACTCCAGGAGACACTCACACTATTGTGATCCCAAGTGCAGACACCGACGTGGCTGTCTGACTGTGGCCTGCCCTGCCCCTTCTGGGCGCCCGAGCTCAGGGGTGTGTCCACCTGGCCTGAAGAGTGATGCCTGGGGTCCGGGAAGTGCCATGGGAACCAAGGTCAAGGATCTGGATGTCAACAGAGCCCTCACTGTGTGACTTGGACACCGGCCTTACCCCCTGTGGCCCTTCATTTCCTCATCTTGCAAATGAGTCCCCTACAATGGATGTTCTACCTCGAAGCTATTCAGAAGCAGAATAACTCAGCAGTTCAGGGCCAGCTACCGTGGTGGGTCATCATTCTACTAGCTGTGGGCTCAGGGGACGTTCCTCCCTCCCTGAGCCTTGCCGTCCTCACTCATCAAATGGGGCAACCCTAACACTGTACAATGTACGGCCATGGGAAACAGGATGGCCCGTCTGCAGAAGGTTGGAACTAGAAGTACCGTGTGAGCCCACAATCCTTCTCGCTCTCTCACCGGCAGCGAGTCAATCCTGACTCATGCGACCCTGTAGGACAGGATGGAGCTAACCCTGTGCGTTTCTGAGACTGTAACTCTACTGAAGAAGAAAGCCTCCTTCCCCCCTGTGGAGCAGCTGGTGTTTCAAACTGTTAACCTCCCAGTTCACAGCCCAACGGATAACCTCTGTGCCACCAGGGCTCAGAAATAAGAGCCACGACGTGAATAGAGAGATGCGCCCATGTTCATCGCCGCACTATTAGCAACCGCAGAATGATGGAAACAACTTGATGCCCATCGATGGGGGAACGGATAAAGGATGCACACTAGACCATCCGGCAGCGCTCAGAATCATGATGGCTAAGTGAGACCTCAAAACCTGGATCCCCTTGAAGGATATTGGGATGAATGAAATGAGTCGAATATTGTACGAGATCACTATTATAAAAAGTCAAGAGAAGGTTGTTTTCACACAAAAAGAACCATTCTTTGGTGGTCTGCTGGGTACTAGGGGTGCAGACCATGGGCTGGAGGGCAGACGCAGGTTAACTTGGGGGAAGGGGAAGGCGGTCTACAGTGAGAGGGAGGCTGGCAGGAAAGGGACGGGGCAGAAGGCAGCCTGTGGAGAGTGCGAGAGTGAAAGGCAGCCAAAGTGCCTCGAGCCACACACACACCCTGCAACAATGGCGGCCTGTGCGTGGCTGGGGGCACAGTAGGCAAATACCTACCCCTATGCCGAGGCTTGGCAGGGGACATGTGTCGGTGGGTGTTTGCCTTGGCTGAGAATATAGCCATGAATGTGGGGGAGCGCACAGGGGCAGCGCTGTGAAACGTTGGACATAACCAAACACTTTGAGGGGATGAGTCTTCATGCTTAGGGGCTCAGGACCATAGACTCAGGGAACGCCGATGTCAATCGGCATAACACAGTTTACTAAGGTAATGTGCTACATCCCTGCTGAGTTGAGTGGAAACTGGGGTCCCGAAAGCTCATGAGCAGCCATCTAAGGTGCAGCCATTGGTCTCTCCCTGCCCAGAGGAAAGAACAGAGATGGAAATAGGAGATGTAGAAACAATTCGTCTAGTGGGCTAACGACGCACGAGCACATCCTTTCCATAACCCTGAGACCCGTAGAACTAGATGGTGCCCCGCTACTCCTCCTACTGCTAACTGCCCGGAAAGGGGTGGCAATTGGTCCTGGATAGAGTGGGAGAAAAATGTGGATCAAAGCTCAAGATCCTAAGAAAAACCAGGTTTACTGGTCACATCAAGCCTAGGGGCGCGGTGACCATGGCCCTTAGTCACGCTTTGGGTGTGGAACTGAACTCACCCTCCTGGCTCCATTTTCAGCCAAGTCATAGACAGGTCTGTACGGGACACAGTGACACTTGTGAGGGACACGCTTCTTAGAGAATCAGCAGCCGTTTGAGCTGAAAAGGGCAGCATGGACCGCAGGCCCGCGTTCAGAAGGGCTAGAGATCAAAGAGGAAGGGAAACAGGGAGCACCGGAAGGAAGTGAGAGCAAGGCTGTTACACTGTGGAGCTGCCATCAGTGAGACGAAACAGAATGTGTTCCAACGGCTGATTGAAAACCGGCTCTGCTCTGGAAACCTTCCCCCAGTTCACAATCCACAACTGAAGAAGGAGGAGGAGGAGGAGGAGGAGGAGAAAGAAGAAGAAGAGGTCAGGAGTGGGGCATGCTGCCTGTGTATGGGGTTCACTTAACATTAGACATGATGGCTTAGAGATTGGACTTGTCCCCATAGGCCTATGTCCCCTGTGCCTAGCAGAGGGCACTAACACACAAAGCAAACCTAACTCACAGCCATTGAGTTGATGCCAACTCATAGCCACCCTCATCGGATGGGGTAGAAGTGCCCCTGTGAGCTTCCGAGACTGTAACTCTTTATGGGAGTAGAAAGCCTTGTCTTTCTCCTGCTGGTGGTTTTGAACTGTGGACCTTGCGGTTAGCAGCCCAGTGTGTAACCATGATGGCCCCAGAGCTCCTTGGAACACAATAGAACTTGGTAAACATTTACAAAGACCAGATGCATGGAGTGGCCTGGAATGCCTGAGCTGGGCCGGCTCCAGGAGGCCCCTGGGTCTGTTCACTCGGTGTTCACGTGTGAATACCGCGAGTCGGCCAGGCCCAGGGCTTTGCTCAGAGAGTTGCAGGGCCCCGCGGCAGCGCAGGACAGGGGTGGCCGTGAACAGGAAGAAGAATGTGTGTGGCCCTTCCCAGAAATAACTTTGTTGAAGTGAAACGCTGGACAAATAACAGCAAGGAAATCTTCTTGTCCAGTATTCCGGTAAGTCCTCTTGACAGCTCTCCACGCAGGCAGGCCTAGGGCAACGACCTCACACTCCTCAGACACAGGCTGTACTTTTCCGCTACCTGCTCTGGCTCGTGCGCCCCTCCCCCAGCTCCCTCCAACTACAAGTGTCCTGCCCCTACTCAGGGCTCGGATGGCTCCCTCCGGCCACCTCCTGAGGGGCTGGACTCTTTGTACCTTTCTGACCTCACCCTTTTCTGAGAAATCCCTACTGCTAGTCTGGGACCTGGCCTCCTTCCCTGAGTCCTATACCCCCTGGGTTTTCCTCCTCACACACTTGAAACCTTGTGGGGTCATGGTCTCTGTATCCTTTCCTCAATCCCCAGAGAAAAAGACTGAGACCCCTGAGATAGCCTGTCGTAAAATAGACATCACGAAGGGTTTTGTTTTGTGTTTTTGATGAGCCAACAGATGGATGGACGGATAGATGGATGGATGAACTATTGGATGGGTGGGTGGATGAGTGGGTAAGTGGATAACTAGATGGGTGGGTGGGTGGATGAATGGACGGATGGATGGACGGATGGGAGAGGAAAAGAAGGAAATTAAGAGTATTGGGTTGTGTTCTCTAAGAGTCAGGTAGCGAAGCAGGCTCTCAAGAAAATTCCACTAGGCTGAATGGGAATTCCCTATTCCAGCCTAAAATTCTTTCATGTTTGCATTTGTCTATTCATTGCTTCATTCATTATTTCATCAATGTCTTGGCTTCTCATGAGGGTTAAATGCATTAATGCACATAACGTACTAACGATAGCATCTGGTGCGTGGTGAGTGGTGTACAACACTGCCGTTCTTATTCCACAAAATACTTCTTAAGGGCCTACTGCACGTCAAGGCCAAAGTTAGAATGCATTGCAAATTCACCTCTGTCCCTAAAAACACAGAAACAGACCCGCAGATGCTGACTAAGAGAGGCCGAAGGGCCTCACACCTCTGCCCTGGTAGGTACTCTAGCTCACACCGCAGGACTGGGACGCAGGGAACAGCCCTCTATAACTGAGTGCCCTGGGAAGTTGGGACCCATCCCGGCTGGTAGTGGAATGTGGTATGGCCCTGGTGCACAAGATGCAGCTCCTCCTGCCTCGTGCCCCCTCTTGCTCTTACCAGGGCTGGTGTGGTCGTAGCGGTATGGCTCCGAGATGAACTGCGGGAGGCTCATGAGCAGACCCGCCAGGGCCACGAGGAGAGCCCCGCAGCCGATCAGGCGAGGCCGGTGCACTCGACTGCCGAAATAGCTCACAAACACAATCAGGCCTACGTTTCCCACCTGCAAAAGGACAAGGGAACCTGTGAAAGGGGGACAGGCCTGGTGGGAGAGGTCCACACCATTCTGATCTCTATTGCCAGCCTCGGTGTCTTTTTCCATCAGTAAAGCTGGTTAGCTGGCTGAATCACAATCTTCCAGCCCTGGTGATGTAGTGGGTTCTACAATGGGCTGCCAGCCGCAAGGCCAGCAATTTAAAAACCACCAGAAAGAGAGAGACAAGGCATTCGTGTAACGTGACAGCCTCAGACACTCAAAGGGACAGGTACTATCTTGTCCTGTAGACTCGCTATAAGTGGGAATCAACTGGATGAGTTTGGAGGATCTTGTTAGGCATTCCAGCGGCACAGTGCTCAGCTGCTAACTGCAAGGTTGGTAGCTCAAATCCACCAGCCACTCTTTGAGAGAAAGTTGAGGCTTTCTCTGCGCCTGGTAAGACTGACAGCCTTGGTTACTGTGTGGGGCCGTTCTACTGTCCTGCAGGCTTGCCATGAGTCAGAATCAGCTCTGCGGCAGTGGAGTTGGGGCTTTCAGTGAGAAGGCCTTTCTGACAAATATTAGCCCTGGGCCCTCCTAGAAAGGGCTCTAGTAAGGGAGAAGAACAAGGACAAACAGGACAAGGCTAGAAATTCACGTTTGTCTTGGAGCGTGGCTTGGACCAGTTGGTAGACAGTGGAGGAGTCTATCGAGGAAAAGGATCTTGGGTTTCTGGGAAGGCATAAAGGAGAGAAACCCATCAAGAAAATCTAAAGCCAGAAGACTACGCCTTGGGATTTTGACTCCTAGGATGCAAACTGCAGGCCATGGATGCTGGAGGGGACTTGAGAACCTGCAGGGCAGGCTCTGCAGCTGGGCTCTCAGTCCCAACTGCACGACCTACGGCCTGGGGCCCGCAGCTCACCCCGCTGAGCTGGGGCTCCCCACTGGGAAGTAGGCGACCAGCACAAGACTGTCACTGAGAAGGACCAGCACGCTGTTGTCCGCAGGGGCCACGGGGGTCCCAGAGGAAGGCAGCGGCTCTCACGTCCCGTTCTGAGATCTGGACGGGAGGGCGGGTGACCCAGCAACATCGAGGGACGTGTAGCAGGCAGGCCTTGGGTTGGGAGGAATGTGACACGTTACCCAACAGAGAGAGACGTTCACAGAAATCTGCCGGGCGGGGAGAAACTGTGTTTTCTGGACATCTGCCGCCTCTGAGGGGGAAACATCTGGATGCGGCGGGAGAGGCCCATGGCGGCACTCTCTAAAACAGCTTCTGCACTCTCCATGCAGCTTCTCAAGTCCCAACCGGGGGTCAGCCCCAGCGGCAGAGGACCCCTGGGCCTCTCGGAAGACTGACACCCCATCCAGACCGTGGGCTCACTTCCTCCTTCATCGCCCACCGCCAGGTTTGAAAGTCAGACCACTGACCCCATCTCCACCTCCCTCTCATGGCACCCGTGGAACTGACCTCCCCTGATTCCTTCCCGGGGCAGGTACTTGCCAGGGACCAGAGGGAAAGCGGGTGGCCATGGGACTCCCAACTCTCTCTCCGAGGCTACATGCCCGATTCCAGTGCGTCCAGGGAAGGGCTTTAGGAAGCCTGGGCAGTGATCTCCCTGGGCCTCTGTTGTAAGCATGCCCAGTCAGGTTCTCAGCCAGGAAACTTTGGGAGGGCAGTGTGGCAGTTATATAATCTCCTGTCAACTTGAGTGAAGGGGTGGAGTCTATCCTGTCAATCAGATCATAGCCAATGAGGCCTCTGGGTGGGCATGATCTTCTCCTGAGGATTCTGGGAATTCCTGTCTTCCTCCCTGGAGGCAGGAGACACTCTCTCTCGGGCCTTCCCTTTTCTGCTGCTGAGACACTCTGAGCACTGGAGGAGCCACGTGGAGAGCCACGCCAGCATTGAGATGCTTCCACCACCACTGGATCCACAAGACTGCCCACCCACTGGCCTGTGATCTTCCAGCATTTGGCATCATTGCGTGTGCTGTGTGAGTCTGAAGAGGAATTTATAGATTGGTATCAGATATAAGGGCTACAATCAGACTTATGGACTTGATCTGGACTGGGCTGGGATGCTTTCTCAATATGCAATTGCTCTTTGAGATAAAGCTCTTTCTTATACACCTATGAGTGTCTATGAATTTGTATCCCTAGTCAACCTGGACTAACACAGGCAGTCTAAGGAGAGTTTGGAGAGCGGAGTGTGATGGGGCCTGCTGAGGACACTGGAAGAGGAGGGGCGGGGTGCAGATGGGCCAGGGCCCGTGCTTCGTACCTCATTGAAGGCGGCCAGCAACCCTGAGGTCTGACTGGAGAGGCCGTAGCGCTTTTCCACGGTGGAAATGGAGCTCTTGAGATAGCCGGAGATCATGAGCTGGGCCAGCTGCAGCAGGCTGTGGCACAGGACGAAGAACTGCCAGGGTCCCCGCAGAGATGGCCGTGGGCAGAGGGACAGGGAAACGGGCATAGGGGAGACACACCCGAGGGGTGGAGGGGCAGATCCAGAGAGAGGTGGAGTTGTCGATTGAGGGGAGGGGGGAGAGTGAGGGATCAGGAGAGGGACCAAGAATAGAGATGGGGAAGCCGGGTCAGAAGAAACAGATGCACGGGAGGAGAGAGAAGAACAAGCACACGAGAAGAGAGTCAGAGAGAAATGAGTGAGGGCGTCTCACACCTGCCCCCCTCCCCAAGAGCAGAGAGGATGCCCGATTGACTCACTCCAAGTCTTCAGGAGCTAGCCAGCACCCGCGTGCTTGAAAGTGCGGTATCCGCGGGCCCAGGAATGGTGGGGACGCTCTCCGACCTTCAGAGCTTCCCTTGGGGCTGGTCTGGACTTTGGACCCTGCTTCTTTCACCTAATCCCTCTTACCCAGAGAGCCCAATCCTTCCCCGCCCCACCCCCAGCTTCACCCAGATCCTCTCCACTCCACCCCTCCTGGCATCTCCTGGGGAGCCTGCCTGCACCACACACACCAAAGCCCCAGGCTGCCTCATCTCATCCCCACCTTGTCCCGCCCGCTTCACCCCACTCCAAAATACCCCAGCCTATCTCCAGTCCTTCCCCCAAACTGGCAGGGTTCCCAAGAGAAACAGAACTATTGGGGGAGAATTTTAAAAATGCGTTTCTCTTTAGAGCGTTCATTTCTTTGGGGCCTCAGTTCCATCCTCTTGGCAATGAGGACACCCCAGGGCTGCAAGAACCGCACAGGATGGTGTGTGAGCAGCCCTGACATGGGGCCAGGCATCGAGGGGGGCTGCATGTTGGGGACTCCCCAGAACACCCCAGGACTCATGCAAGGTCAGTATCTCTGGGTCCTTCTTGTCCTCCTAAGGATGTAAGAGGACTCGACCCCTACGGCCCCCAGAGCAGCCACTTTGTTCCTGAGGGCGCAGAAATAGTTACCGGCACCTTCCATGTGCCTGAAACCAAGCGGGGAACTTTTGTGCCCCACCCCCTTGATCCTCCCAGCCACCATTAGACAGCTGAGGAAGCAGAGGTCACCATTTGTCCGGTGGTTATCACCCAGCCGGGGCAGAGGCTGCTCTGTGGGCTTGGGCGCCCATTGCCCTGCCAGGCCCTGGGAGGTACCTTGATGCTGTGCAGCATACTTGGCTGCTTGGCTACGCTGGCTTTGCCTCCAGGTGTGGCGTCAGTGTCTGCTGTGACCTTGCTGTCCTCTGGCATCTGGGGTCCTTCACCCGTGGGCCCTGTGGGACAGCCAGCCGGAAGTGAGAGTTAGGATCTGGAACCCCGGAGAATGCCCCTGGCCCCGGAAGGCCCAGAGCCAGGTATTTGAGGAGGCAGGAGCCATAGAGGCTGCTGAGAATCTGAGACCACCAGGCAGACTGGCCCTCTCAGTGAAGGTGCTGAGAGGGACCTTCCTAAGAGGGGACCCCCTATTACACGAGCACACATTCACTTCCTTCAGGAGAGAAGCTGCTGCCCCCTCCAAGGACACACACCTGGGAGGGATCAATGGCCTCAAGCCCACGCTCCCCAGCGCCGCCCCGTGGGCAGGCCGAGTGGTGGAGACAGCTTGTTCTCTTAGAGGCTGGCCTGCAGCTGGGTCTAGCTGGCTTTGTCATGGATCAGGGATCTGAGGTCAGGTTCCCCCGCATCAGGACTCAGCTCATGGTCAGGGATGAATGGTTTTTCTGGGGTGTTGTTCAGAACAGATATCAGCACCCCCACAAGGAACCACTGTAAAATCATGGGGCCTGGTGTTCAAATGACACCACAAACCACATTGTGGGTCAGGGGCAAAAGGGCCCTTCCAGAATCTGCTCGGTTTCATCCTCTTCCGGATAAACTCCCGGGGCTGGAACCTGGGCCCTTGGCCCTCATTCTGTGTGTTGGTCTCCCCCTGTGGTAGCCACGGAGAAGCCATGGAACCCCTTCTGAGGCACCTCCCAGGGGCTCCTTGTGGTTCATCTCAGCGGGGAGCCCAGAGGTCTGGCTTGGGGAGACTCCACCCCTTATTTAGATGGAAACCACCTGCTCCTTCAAGCAACCCAAGTCTACTTGGCTTCCTCTCTCTCAGGGCCCCGCTTCCTGCCAGGAGTCTCTTCCATTGTTTCCAACGCCTCTCAACTCTGTTGGGAGTTTCCCACAACCCACAAGCTCCTCCTGGATCAGAGGTGATCGGAGGACAGTCCCGAGGCCATTACCGCCCCGTATTCCATCTCCGGGACTGGAAAGGACCTTCATAAGGCAAGTGAAGGAGGTGGCTACACAGGACCCACCCACACACAGAAGGTCTGCGTTCCTCCTGCACAGTCCCTGGGAGCCTGAGGAATTTACTTTTTAATTCAGATACAATTCACCTCCCACAGAATCAGCTCTCTGTAAGTGTACGATGCAGCAGTTTATAGTATGCTCAGCTGGACAGTGGGCACAGCATCTGACTCCAGGACATTTTCGCCTCCCTAATGGAAACCCCCAGGCTCATTAGCAGTAGCTCCCAGTCACACATCCTCTGGCAACCACGCATCCACTTTCTGTCTCTAACCAAAACCATTCACTGCCACCGAGCAGAGTGCAACTCCCAGCGACCCTATGGGACAGGGTTGAATTCTCCCTGAGGGTTTCCGAGACTAGAAAGGCTCCTCTGTCTTCCATGGAGTGGCTGGTGGCTTTGAACTGCTGGTCTTGCAGTTCGCAGCCCAACATGTAACCCTCTATGCCACCTGGGCTCCTCTAGCTTTGCTTATTCTGAATCTTTCATATAAGCGATACCGTATAGTTATAGGACCTCCCGGGACTGCGTTCTTTTACTGTCTTCAAGGTTCATTTATCTGGTAGCCTGTATTGGTCCTCCATTCCTTTTATTTTAAGGGTTCAACGATATTCCATTCTTTTTTATGTACCACATTTTGTTTATCCATGAATCAATTCATGAACATTTGGGCTGTTTTTAAGAGCCTTGGTGGTTACACCTTGGGCTGTTAACTGCAAAGTGAGCAGTTTGAAACCACCAGACACTCTTCGGGAGAAAGACAGGGCTTTCTACTCTCGGTAGAATTACAGCCTCGGAAACCCTATCCCATATCAGTGCGTCTTCGCTGACGCCGGGGCAGTGCACTGGGGCGTGGGATGTCTTTACTTTGGGGCGAGTGTGAAGAATGGCTCCCTGAATGTTTGTGTGCACGTTCTTGAGTGGACGTGCTTTCAGTGTCTTGAGCAGATGACGGGAAGTGGAGCTCCCAGGAACTCTGCGGTGATCTTCTGGGGAAACCACCAAGCTTTTCCACAGTGGCTTCCCATTTTACAATCCCACCAGTGATGGGCCAGGGTTCCTGTTTCTCCACCTCCCCGACAGCACCTGTTAGGACCGGACTTTAACGGTTAGCTGAAATGCTGGTGTTTTTCTTCATTCCACCCAACAGCGCCTTGGAGGAAACACCTGGTTGATCTCGGCCACCCAGTTAAGAGCCTGTGGAGCACAGCTCTAACTCTGGGAAACGGTGGCCATGTGTCGGAGACAGCCACTGCTAGTGGGCAGGGAGTGGTAGCTCCCTGTACTGTTGCTTTTTCAATAGTTTTATTGGCACACCACTTACATATCATACAGTTCATTCAATCATATCACGGGGCATTGTACAGTCAGGAGCACTTCAATCTTAGAGCATCTCCCCCCGCCCTCCATTGGATAAAGCGCCTTTTCCATGTGTGGTGCAATCACAGTCAGTTCTAGTGCTCCCTCCCCAGCCACTGCTTTCATAACTTACTCCCCAAATCCCCGCGCCCTCCCTATCACCCAACCCCAACACCTGCACTCCCTATAACCTCTTCTGGCAGCTATTTTCCTTACGTATCCACTCCTGCTGTGCCTCACAGCTGGGAAACTCAATAGAAAACAGTAAAAAACAAAATTGTACTAAGGCTCAACTGAAGCAGAATAAAGACAAACATACAAATAATGCGTAAGAAGGGAAATACCCCTGTGGTGGCGACATCATCTCCTGTCAACTTGCAAAGGGGTGGAGTCTAGCCTGTCAGTCAGATCATAGCCAATGAGGCCTCTGTGTGGGCTTGGTCTTCTCCTGAGGATTCTGGGAACTCCTGTCTTCCTCCTTGGAGGCAGGAGGCACTCTCTACTTGGTCGTCCTGCTGACAAGCCACATGGAGCTACACCGAAGCAGCCAGAGCCATGACGCTGGAGGAGCCACATGGAGACCCACACCAGTGCTGAGATGCTTCCACTGCTACTGGATCCATAAGACTTTCCATCCACCAGCCTGTGATCTTCCTGCATTCAGCATCATTTCATGGCTGTGTGAGTTTAAAGAGGAATTTATGGACTAGTATTGACATATGGGGTAATATAGGACTTAGGGACTTGATCTGAAGTGGGTTGGGATGTTTTCTTAATGTGCAATCGCTCTTTGATATAAAGGTCTCTCCTACATACATATGAGTGTCTTTGGATTTGTTTCTTTACTCAGCCTGAACTAACAACCCCTATCAACATTCAAAAGGCTAGAGAGGACAATTCTGTCATGGAACAAGTAAGAGATACTTGCCCCCAGTATAAATTCAGTTCATGTCTGTGGGGGTGTGGTGGGGGTAGGGGGTGAACTGCCTAAGTATCGAGTTAGATTCAGCATGATCATGATTACAGTGGTCTCTGCCTGGTTGTAAGGCTGTTCAGGACTCTTGCCTGTGGCTAGAGTGGATCTGCCAGCGGCTCAGTCTGACTGGATCCTCTGCAAATGGATTTTGGGTTCCCATCCCGGTAGTTTTGATTTGCATTTCCCTGATGCAAACTATAGGAGCCCTGCTGGCCTAGTGGATTGCATGTTGTGCTGTTAAACACAAGGTCAGAAGTTTGAGCCTACCAGCTGCTCCACCGAAGAAAGATGAGGTTTTCTGCTCCTGTAAAGACGGACAGCCTCGGAAACCCACCGAGGCAGCTCTGCTCTGACCACAGGGTCTCTAGGAGCCGCAGTTGGCTTGGTGGCAGTGAGTTTGGGGTGTTTTGAATTTTGGAGGCACATTGATGACATTGGGCCTCTTTTTTGTGTGCTTATTAGTCATCTCTTCTTTGGAGAAATGCTTATTCTGAGGAATTTGAGGAAATGGAAGTACTGTGATTGGGGGGAAGTCTGACATAAACACTCAGAGGAAACAAAACTGACATCTGACAGGGAAGAAGGAGCCCCGGCGGTGTAATGGTTACACAGGACACTGTGAACTGAAAGGTCAGCAGTTCAAAGCCACCAGCCAGCGGAGGTCCAAGGGAGAAAGATGAGACTTTCTACTTCCGTAAAGAGTTAGTCTTGGAAGTCCACCGGGCGGCCCTACCCGGCTTTATAGGGTCACCTTGAAAGTGAGGGGGCTTTTTTAGACAGGAGGAGACAAAGGACTGAACCAGAGAAGGAAAACGTGGGGGAGACTCTGAGGAAGTCATGTTGAAGAAGAGAAGGCCAGGAGATGCTAAGCAGACTCTCCCGGGAGTGACTGAGGCGACCCTTCTGGGTCTCAGTGTTTTAACTCGGCAGAGACTGGCCACAAACCCACATAGTAGGCTGTGCTTCACGCCCCCATGTGCTTGGAAACCCTCGGGGTGAGGGGGCAGTTGTGGGCTGGAATTCAAGCGGAGGGGCTGAGCCTGGTAGGGGAGTGAAGACAGGGCACAGAGCCAGGTCCCGAGCAGAACAGCCCATCCCCTTTCTCTCCCAGGTGGGCAGCTAGATTTTGAGCCCCAAGGAGGTCCGCTGGTGCTAAGGGCTGGGGCCTCATTACCCAAATAGCTAGCAGGCAGGGATCTGCCTGCCTGCCAGCCAGTTCCTAGGCTAGCTGCTCATTCGGGCACACCCGTCTGCACCAGCTGGTAAACTAGTCCTTGGTTCAGCTGTCTGTCAGACGTCTCTCTGTCTCAGTCAGTCGGAAACTTTGTTGACTAGGTAGCTGGTCATCAGAGCCTCCTCCTAGAGGGCCCCCTCTGCGGACAGACATCAACATCCCCACACCAGCTGAGCAGGAATGACGACGGAACCAGCCTGATGGGGAGCCTTTCTCTGCCTGTTTCTGGCCAGAAAGGCCCAAGGAGGATATTTCTGCCTCCTGTCGTCATTCCCCAGCTGCAAACAGCAAATCCCAGGGAGAAGCAGGGCTGGGTGTGGGCTTTGGACTCCTTGGGCCTAGGCTGAAGTCCAGCTCTGCCATCGTTCTGTAAGGCAGCTGTGACTCCATGGCAGGCAGAGCC